TGAGATTTAACTAACTTACAGAGGCTGTATTTGATTTTGGTTATAATATAGATGAGCTGCAAAAACAATGAAATAGATTTATCAAATTCACAACACAGATAGACATATCTCTTTTGTCTTGCATTTTATATTATAAAGAAAGTCTTTGTTCATCTTATAGCAATAATATATTCTTCAGAAGTGAACCAGCACAAGAAAGTTTGATAAAGATTCCACATTATACTCATCAAGATATCAGTGTAGAAAGGTCTCAACAACATTCATCATCAAAATTCTCCATTCAGTAGTGTGGAATGAGTGGATCAAGCTCTTCCTCGATGAATCTGAAGGAATAAGTAAATGTTTAGAAGGGACAAGAGAGTCATGTAAGCTTATCTTTTATAGCAGTTTCCCACCCGCCGCATGCTAACTTTTGTTGAATCCTCAAGATCTGGCTTGACATCTCAGGGCAGACCGTGGACAATCTTCATATAATGGCCCTTATGTTTTTCGATTTGAGGTTTGTGATAGATATTCATCGTTATAAGGCTCGGGAATCTTGGTGTAAAATAGGATAGAAGAACACAGTTTTGTATGTGGATGAGAGAAAATCAATTCGTGTATATCCCATCCGGGATACACACTCGAGGGGCAGAGTGGTGTATATATACCCAGCCATGGTGGATTTGATTGCTTTGGCCGTCACTGAGTTCTGTCTGGTTGAGTCTGGATAAGAAGCGCTGGTATCAGTAAATTTAGTAAAAGCGGCCACTCGGCGGCTGAACACCCAGTAAAAGCAGCGAGCCCTTCAGAATGAAGGGCCACATAAACATAAAATGTACCCAAGGCCACAACCAGTGCAATCAAATTAGGCGTCACCCAGAGTCACTCCGTATACTCTTTAGTTATGCTGCTAGATCCTTGAGCCAAGATAGAGCTACTGACGCTAAAATCTAGGTCTTACGCGCCTCCGTATGGGTAGTCTCCGCTCGAATTTGTGTGAGTTTGTATATCGGAGAATATCAATAGCTAAATTTATTTTTATTTATATATATATATATATATATATATATATTTTTCAATTGTAAACCTAGCAGAGTCATATTCGGCTATGCAAGTTTTTATTTATATACGGTATTTCTATTAGGCCAAGGTCAAGCTCGTTCAATGCAGCCTTGTGGCTCATTTTATCATGGTTGGCTAATGAAATTCATCCCTCGAGTATAATTATGCTGGTGACTATCAGATACGTTGAGATCAAATTAATTGCTCACCGACCAACTCAATCAAATTCGTCATCGTCAGAGATATTCTGGAGTAATAGAACCGTGTCATCCTCAATAGCTCCTCCCATTGTGCGGCTGAAACGAGGAACGCTCTCACTCGTATCGTCACCATCACGGCCAGTGTGGTCATCGCTTCCCGCTTCTTCGCCGTCAACAGTCTCATCAGCAAATTCTATCACATCTTCATCTAGCCATTCGTTCTCATACCCCTCTTCTTCGTCCTCTTCTTTTATTGACAAGATCAAAGAGGCATCCGAGGGTGTCTGTCCTCCATTACCTTCATCTTGGTCGATGTTCTCAATTTTGACCCCTGGCATTGCTCCGTGCTCAATTCGGGGTTTCCGACTCGTGTCTGGGCTGCCGCCTATGGCATCGCCGAGCTTCCTTTTTGCCCGCGCATGTATTAAATGCGGGCGATTGGGGATGCGGGTGGAGATGGAGAGTGGCGTGCCACAAGGCCTGGGACTGAATTCATGGAGACCGGTCTGGTTGTGTATTGAGTCAATTATGTATTGAAATTGTCAACTTTTACCTACAGCGTTGGACAAAGCCTCTCGGCCCACATGGATTTCACGCCTCTGTGGTTACAGAAAGCCGGAAAAAAAAAAAAAAAAAAAAAAAGAGCTCGTCAAGCACATGAGGTGGGTATCCCTATAAATAGGGAAAAGAACTCGCTAGATTTAGCTTGGTAGTACACACTTACCTTTTTAATTACAAATGGAACGATCCTCTGTGATCTTCCTTGCAAATGCACAACTTTCTCGGCCTTAACTACCTCCGCAAAACGCACACGTTTCATGCGCACTCGTGATTGAGAGCTAGGGGGTAACCAATGCCAACAGAGCATTATGCGTGTAGCAACTCCAGAATCCCATGTCATGCCTGAGAGGGCCTCGTGCAGTATAGGTGGACGCTTCCCCCGGAACCGCGAGGCCATTTCGTTTATGACGACAACAACACAATTGAGTCGGACAGCAAGTTTTTTCAAATTCATAGCTAGGTTACCGATGATTTTCCAGCGAGTTCTTTCATTTTTGGACTCTGCAGTTGCTATGAACTTAGCTTTTTGGTTTCCGCGTGGTAGTCTGGTGCGGTATTCGGAGGTGAAGAGGGAAGATATGGAATCAATCACTATTAGGCCTGCTTCTGGGGGTGGGAATCCCTTTGGTGAGTGAGATATTAGGGCTAGGAGATGGGCAATGGTTGGTGGGTGGAAGTATAGTAGTTGATTGAGGAATTCGTCTATCTTGTTTCCGCCTGATGATGGATCAAATGAATCGTCCGAGGACCGTGAATGTCGATCCCTTTGGAGGATGTCTTTGAATCTTGTTGGGTTCATGGGCCCCGCAGTATCTAACAACGTTAGATAGAGAGTACATTATAACTTGCGGATAGCAGGACCCATGGCGACGTAAAAGTTAAGATTCCCTTGGGAAAATCGGAGAACGGAGAATGAGCTCACTGCCCCTAATACTAACCTATCCAGACAACTTTCTGCGCTGCTTGTAACACACTTGCTGCAATTCCCATTCTGCATGTGTAATGTCAGCTACATTGGTTCCTCTCCCTTAGATCACGTATGCTAAACACTCACGCAAATGCGGTTTTCCCCACCCCACGGGGTCCTATAACCTCTGTAATCTCCCCTCGCTTGATTCCGCCCGTAGATGCGTCTGGGTGACTTTGGGCCATAGCAATTTTTCCTTCTGGGGTCTAGGGGAGATGGCATCGGACCAGACCGCAGTGCTAAAGCAACATCAAGCCGCGGTAGACCAGTAGATACTGCGCCTCCACCCTCATGTGTTGGCAGAGGAGATAATTTAACACTCCCGAAGGCACGAAATGGGCTTTCTAGATCCCTTTTTCTGATAGGCTATTGAGAGGTTAGCAGTATGATCTCCAGAATGTAAATAAAAATTTGTCCTGGAGAACGAAAGTGTGCCAGAGATCTCAAGCTCTTTGCACGGTATTGAGTTATTTCCCGATATATATATCGATATAGAATATCGTAACATCCATCAACGAGTTTTGGAACTCATTCGCCCAGACCCGTTCCAGTTAATTTATGCAATATTGATAAAAAATAAAAGCTAATTCCAACATGCCTTCATCCGGGACTGGAAAACGGGCGATATCTTCCTCCTGGGTGGTCATCGGCGTACGATTGCTACATTTATCTATTCAACGGACTCGGTGATCGAGTATTAAGATTAGGGAAAAACTATTCATATGTAGAGAAATAAGATAGAAACATGTTCGTGGGCGGATGGGTGTCTGGGAGGTTGCAGTACGAGTTTTGTATGACTGGAGCTGATGTTCGGTTAGCCTGGGGGACATTCCGAGTAAATAGATCCTCGTTTACCAACCTCAAACATCGCCCGAATGTTAAAATTACTAGCATGTTAAATAAATGGATATTTTTGAATGGCATTTTAAAATGTTGTTAAGCATTTCACTTAAATATATTGGTATGTACCCATCAATTAAAAGCTTACAGAATTTACAAACACACATGTATATAGTGATTAAGCTAAGATCGGTAGTGACAATTATTCCTATGTCTCGCTCAGTACGAATAACCTAAGGGAAATGAGATTATAATAACAAAAATACATGTGAGAGCCAACTGTCCAAGTAATAAGCAGAGGGACATGGCCCGTCGAAATCGGAGCCGTTGTTGCGTCCGAAGAGTGGAACAAGGTGATATCTCTCATTGTTCTTGAATGCCATTGAATTTGCATGCTCCCTGTATACTCTGCGTGATACCAGATACTCCTCCATCACATGCGTTACGCATGTTATTCATACTCTCTGCCAGTAGTTCCTCTTGCCGTTCCTGATCATCGAACAAGTCGCATGTAATCGGCCTTATCAAGAGCTCGGGGATCTGCCTCTCTTGGGCCTCCAATATCACTCACTCTCCGTGCCTTCATGAACGCACCAACACATGAGGGTTCATTCACCTATTGTGGATAGACAGCTGGGAAATTTTGGAAAACTCTTCTGATACTTCCTCCCAGAACATGGGAACAGCAACGTTCCCATATGATTTTGCCTAGATTGTCACATAGGAGGAGCAGCCTTTGCCATGCGAAATTCAGGTAGTCAATATAGGGAGGATATTACTTGCAAGAAGCTGACAAGATATTCCAGGTAGGCAGGCTGCTCTTGTATATAGTACTAGAACTGGTATAGAATACTAGTATTCGCGACTTTGGCGTGCATTCAACAATAAAGAAGGATGAGGAAAGGGAAAATAGAAAATAGAAAAGAAAAAAAAACGTTGTTTGAAACTTGCTACCATCTCGAACAAACGTATTTGGAATCGATAATCCTTCTTTGGGAGACATGAGTCAGCACTAATCTTTTCGCCAATTCACAAACTTCCAATTTGTCATGATCCAAAGCCTTTTGACCATACGATAGAAAATGGATAAGATCTCCCTAAGGCATTAGACGATGCCTAGGTGGAAGCTACCTACTAGCTAACTGCATAAGTCTTCGACTCTCTTCTTCCTCACGAGCGTTGAGGGCAAACTCCTCTGGGCCCTCTGCCGTTCTCTGCCGAATAGATCTTTCAACCTACATTGAACGGCCTTAAATGCCAACTTAAGAAAAAATAAAAAATCAAGACAACAAAAGACCTTGTACTCTTTCCTTTGATAGATACACATACATACATAAATATTTTTATATATATTTTTCAAACTGCCAGTGGATTACTTACTATCCACTATGCTCATCCCTGGTTTGACTGGCATTGTTCCGCGGCTGAATTTCTCTGCCACCACTTCACTCCTCATCATCTACATCTCATGTTTATCGCCAATACTCCTCCTTTTGTATTTTCAATTCTCAAGCCGTCGTAATGCAGCGCGCGAACCCAAGGGATGCCGAAAGTTGGGATTGCACGGTTTCTCTAACCTCCACGATGAAAACAACTACGGCATCGATGGAAGACCGAAACGAACCAACCAGAACGATGCGGGGAGAGGAAAGATCCGCGTCAAGGCTCTGTTAGCGTATCCGATCAAAAGCTGTGCGGGTGTTGAGTTCAATATCGCTGATGTTGTGAGTACCGGAGTGGCATATGACCGCCAATTTTGCTTTGCGGAATATGTAGACTCCGCAGAATCAGGCGCAAAGAGTCAAAAATATGAGAAGCCAGCCGGGCAATGGGTGTTCCGCACGATGCGCGATCTAAAATATGCCAAATTGGCCTTAATCCGGCCGGAGATCTGGGTTCCCGACCCATCATCATCCACCTATTCTCCAAAGCGCCCGGAGGTGCGTTCAAAGGGCGTTCTAGTGATAAACTTCCCCCGCATCCCAAGCGGCAGTGGCATCACACCCGTGCTTTTATCAATCGGAATGAAACTAGGCCTCTGCGCTCGCGAGGAATCATTCCATGTGCCTCTCCATCCCCCGCCATCAAGCGTAGAGAATGGCGCTTATCCATCTCGCTCTGTGCGCATCTGGAGGGACACCCCTATGGCCTTCGACTACGGCAAACATATCCCACCCTCCCTACTCGCTTTCCTCGGTGCCTCAAGGCCTATGACTCTCTTCCGCATCGATCCGGATCACCATCGGAAGGTATTCCGCTGCGCACCTCGTAAGGAGGTTCTGGGTTTCCAAGCCACCACCGGTTTCGCAGACGCATACCCGGTACATATGTTGAGCCTGGCCAGTTTGCGAGAGATAGCTGAGCGGACGAAGTACGCTATTCCAAAGCTATCCGCGCGCCGATTTCGGCCCAACGTTATCTTAGAAGGGAGTGCTGCGTTTGAGGAAGATGATTGGAAGCGTGTGCGGTTTATCCCGCGGAATGGAAAACAGATGCCGAACAAACAGGTGGAGGATGGCATCGAAAAGAGGGAAGGACAGAATGGAGCCCCCGAAGACAACAGTAATCGGAAGCATTCCAGCGAGAACGCAGATGAGGGGGTTGAAGTATATACAGCGTGTCGGACTGTGCGGTGCCGATTGCCAAATGTGGATCCCAAGACGGGAGTGAGACATCCCGTTGAGCCGGATAAGACGCTGAAGAGCTTCCGGTGCATTGATGCGGGAGATCCGTATAATGCATGTTTCGGCATGCAATGCGTTCCTACTGTTGAAGGTGTGTTTTTGTCCTTTTCTTTTTCTTTTCTTGTCCTCAAGGGGTTGCTTAGCTTAGCCTCGTCTGCTGGGCTCGTGGCCACCCCCTCTTTATTTGAGGATGTTACGTTTACCCTTTGAAATCGATAAATTGCAAGTGCCTGACACTAATATGTGTAGAATTCACTCTTCGCGTCGGCGATGAGGTAAAAGTCCTCGAAAAGGGTGAGCATTTCTATATCAAGATGTGAATGAAGGACAAAAGGTGTAAGCGGGAAAAAAAATGGGAGAACATGCAACGGGTGGTGCGAATACACAAACCACCCTCTCTGCATTTTTCTCGGGTTATATACGAAATTGTATATGCTATATGTTCGCATTTGTACAGTCATGTAAATTTGGTCAGGAAAAATGGAAATGGGTACGGAATATGTATGATTACAAAATGGATGCTGTGCTTGGCCAGCAGGCTTATATGCCAACTTTGTCTGTCTTAACGATTAAGTCGAAAACACGAATAAATAGTTATGTGTTCTATAGATCAAAATTGAATGATTGCATCGCTGTAGCTTGGTCATCTCTCATGGAATCTTAGGATAGGGTGTTACAAAATCAAAGTGGAGCACGTGTAGTTAGGAATAAAGGATTATCGAGAACGCGTTAGAGAGAACTTCCCAAGCGTGTAAAATTTACAACGGTTTGACGTAGTATCCGTGTGGATATACAAGGCCATGATCGAGGTAAGGGGGGAGATGTAGCAGGGAATGGGTCGGAGATAGAGATATGAATGATTGCGGGCGCCAAAAACTGGATGTCACACGCGGTGAACGCGCCCTTAGGCCAATTGACGGTATTGCATATTAAGACGTCCCCGGGGTGGATGGCCAAACCAAGCCAAAAAAAAAAAAAAAAAAAAAAAAAAAAAAAAAAAAAAAAAAAAAAGAAAGAAAGAAAGAAAGAAAAAAAAGAAAAAAGGAAAAAAGAAAAAGGAAATATAGGATAAACAATGCCGGAACATGGAAAGGCCGATATCCCTGAGAAAACGCATCCCCAACACCGAGGACGGGGGACATAAAAGAGAAAAACCAAAGTAGTATGTAAAGTCCAAGGGAAGCCAGGGGTATGTTCGATAGGGAAAGAGTCCAATACACATGACAAACCAAGAAGAGAAGGTTGCACTTCCTACAACTCCATATCATGGTTGGAACCGCAGGCGAAATTCACGACCCTTCCCTTCTTCACGGACCTTATACAAGAACTTTGCAATAGCATCCTGCTCCATAAGCCCCACGTTATTGAAATGCTTCCTCACAACGTTGGCAAGCTGATCTTTTGTTACCCTTCCCTGCCCTCGAAGGGTGGAAATGCGATGCAAATCCATCCCTGAAGCGACATTGTTATATCCTCGTCTAGTGATTTGTTCGCAGAATCATCCCTTTTGGAAGACCGGAAAACTGTTTCCCGTGTTCGGCTTTTTTTCACTGAGAGGCCAAGCTGCGCTCGTCGAGCAGCTATGGCTGTCGGAGATCGGAGACCCAACTCCTTGGTTCAGGATTATTGAGGATATTTGAGAGGAGTATGCGCTGGGGCAGGGGAGGTTGTAGGCGTGCCGGTACTGGTGAAGAACTGATAGCGGCATGCTTGACCAATTTACCTAGAATCATATGGAGTTGGAGTCAGCAAAATGTATTCCCATAGCGGATAAGGAATAAAATCCGCTATTGGACAACGGCCAAATGTGCATTTGTGCTCTCTCCGCAAGGACAATCTTTTCTTTAACTGAGAAATTGAGCCATGAAAGTGCTAGTAATCGAGCACAAACTAAAGGGGAAGCTTACTCCAGTGGATTCTGCCAGGCTACCAGTTCCCGCATTTTGGCCGCTGGTTGCAGTGATAGCAGCTGCGACTTTCATATCTCTGGATGACACTGAACTGCCAGGAACGGCGGTGTTGGCTGGTCGCCGACCCTTTGTGCCTGTTGGATGCCGTTCTCTCGTGCCGCTAGAGGCTTCCGACCTCGAATCATCAGGGTTTGTTACGATCCGTTGACGAGGAGGTGCCATGGTTTACTGGCAATGTAAGTCCAATTGGAATTGAGTGCAGGAGGTCAAGCCCGGCTGAGTAAGGATTGTGGAGGACGGATCATATAATCAAAGAGAGAAAAAAGATTGAGACAAAAGAGAGTCAGATAATATGGATGCCAAACGATACCCCAGTATCATGCTGACACAGTAATACGATATAACACCAGGCCATGGGCCAGACATGTATATTCTTCGAGTAAAACCCTCCCCTGCGCCGATTTGAAGCCAACGGAGAACTGCATCATTGGGCGGTGATTTGTGGCAGAATCGAGTTTCCCGGCGACACTAGTCCTGAAGAAGTTAGTGTAAGGGCACGAGGCGGTCGCGCTAAGGCTCTAACTCCGGCGGATGAACTTAAAATCCGGGGTCCATGAAACGCATTTCGCAGCTCAACAGCTCAAGCATCATTCAGCACGAGAAACAAGAAGTGGTAGCAAGCCATTCAAAATCATTCCGCAATAGTACATTATAGAGGCTTTTTCCATCGCATCCACTTGAGGATTAGTTTAGGCTCATATCGATCTTGAACGTATCCGGCAATTTCACCATTCATTTGATTGCTCATTGAAAGAGGAACAGCTTTCCAGTGAAACAGAAATCTGGTTTCAGGTCACTTCAGCCCATTTTATACCATGAATGCAGGTCAGGAGATGTTGAAACAATTTTCCTTCTCTAATCCTATCTCAAAATTGCTATTCACAGAAGCCACCCTCATATCTCGGCCTGGCTCTTTCTTACGCCTGTCGCGCAGCTGGACGGCCAAGGGCAAGCGGGCAGCAGCAGCAGATTTTGCCCAGAATGAGGGACCTTGCGCATTATGGCCTATCTAGGTATGGAAATACAGCAGATGACTGGATGGTTCGGTATGGCCCCAGACGCTCTAAGTTTTCTCACCGCCTTGAGCTCTGTACCTGTTCCTGTCGGCATGGCGGCATGGCGGCATATACGAAACTCAATGTGCTGAAGTCACCCTAGTCATGCAAGAAATGCTAACTGAAAGAAGTGATGTTACGCTACCTCACTAGGAAATCTGGGAGATCCTCGGCATTTGCGGAGCACTTTGATGATCTCAGGGTTTAAGCAACCGGAAAAGAAAATAATGAAAAAGAAGAAGAGAGAGAAAAGAAAGAAAAAAGAAAAATAGGAGCCAAAGGTATATATATTGGAATTTCGTATTCGTAACTCTGGAGTGCAAAATAATGGTTGGAAGCCAGAATGGATTGAAAGAAAGAGAGAGGGAGAGAAAGAGAAAAGAGGATGAGCATGTTTCGCTTCATGTTCGTTGTGAGAAATTAACGTTGAGTGAAATGACGATCACGTTGGTATCTCCTACGGCGTTGGTCTGTGCGCCAATGCAAGCCGATTCCGATTCTCGGGATCCCGACACATTTGCCAGTGCCAGGTTGAAGTTGTTGGAGAGTAGCTCCTTTTAGAGTCAATTCTTCTTCCATACCGTTTCCCAACTTAAAATCCCGGCAGGAATGTTTCATATGTATTAACATTGCACAGCAAAATACAGATGTACACATCCTGCGGTTATGCCCTGTCTGGCTATGACGTCATACATGGTCTAGATCGGCCTTCCCAACCCGCTCGCACTTACTTGTACCGAAAACCTCCCCCACAATCGGTACTACTTCAGTGAAAAGCAACAGTCCGAATGCAAAGCAAAAAATAAAAATAGAAGCAAAACCCAAAAAGGCAAGGAGGACAACAGGAGCAAGTATCATTTGTCAATTGCCGGCATCAACCCGGCCTCCCAGAATACAGGCGAGGTCCTCATACCTACTCGTATCTACTACATAGTATCTGCCTGGCCAGGAACACCCAAAATTGGTCTATTATGTCCGTTCACAGCATCGGCCAGCACCCCTTATTCGCAGAAACCACCGATGCTGGTAGCCACTTACCGTTTCCGCTGTTTCTGTCCGACAGTGGGCCTCGGAGAGCTTCTGTTCCATTGCGTCACAGCGACCCAACGTCCAGGCCCGAGGCCGGGAATTGTTCGCGTTCAACGACCGACTGGAAGACGGCGGCGGAAGGTGCGGGCGGAGATGGGATGATTAGCCACAGTATCCCGGAATCGAACCGTTTATTCTGCGTCCGGCGGCAGGAGGAAATCTCGGCCTACGAAACCTAAGATAACTAGCCGAGGGTGGTGACAAAGAAGGGTGCCAGATATTTCAATGTTCCTTTGCTGCCAGCAGTTCGCAGTTCATATCGGCATGATTATTCCTTTTTCTTTCCTCCCCCCCCGGCTGACAATGTAAGAGCAAGACAAGGAATCATCAAGGAATAGCACTAAGCATCCAAGGGAAGGCCACCCCCACTCCCCAATTCTGGGACAAAGTCCGAGAAATGTAGCATCTGGCAGAGATGCAACGCAACCTGAGGACCCTCGGCTTGTTCCCTTTCCTGACCCTGAAATCCAGGAACGAAAAAACCGGGATGAGTGGCGCCATCCATCAGGCCCCAAGCCACGCCAAGACCTTACCCCATAGTGACGGCGCCCCTAAAAGTTTTTTTTTTTTGATCCACTTGTAGTTCCGAGTTTGGCATTTTTTTAATTTAAATACTCCGTGTTTTTGCGATGGCAGTTCCGGAGTTTAAAATGGGTGTGTACGAGCATGACGATGTACTGTAAGAGTGGAATTTGCAGCATTGCCAGCCACCTGGTTTGCAAAAAAAGATATCAGCACAAGCAGGAACAATCCTGAAATTTGCGTCCTTGACAATTCAAAATCATATTATCAATCACCAGCCTGCTGCTTGTT